AGGGCTGGATGTCTGATCTGTTCTTTCTATAATCCACTATAAGCTCCTTGGTCTTATTGGTGTTGAGGACCAAGTTATTGTCTCCACACCACGAAAGCAACCGGTCCACCTCATCTTGGTAGCGTAGGAAGTTAGCACCCACCCATCTAGAAAAATGAAATATCCTGGGAAATATTAAAAAGGTAGAATATTTCCCCTAAAAAGAGTAGAAACTCAGAAGCAGAAACTCACCTCAGAAACAGAAGCTCACCCCCACCTATGTTAATCAGTGGGCCATTAAGGCCTGGGCCAAAATACTTTACATAACAAAGATCTCCAGTTAAAGCTATAGCAATTGCTCAAAAGCCCTTTCAGTGCATCATCATTCAGCAAGGCTTAACCAAGCCTGGAACTCAGGACAGCCTACAGAGTTGCCCCTGCATGGCCTCATGGGAGTCTGACAACCAATCAGAATACAAGCTCCAATTCAAATCCCAACAAAGGTTATAAAACCCAGGCACTCTCAGCATATCAGTCCTTCCTTCTCTTTTCCTTCACCTTGGAGCATGTGATCATCCTTCTTTGGAGCTTCAAGCCATGTGGTCCTCCTGTCCACCATTAAACCTTCCAAACAGCCTCCATGTTTCCAGTGTCTTTTCCCCCACTTGGAACTGAATCCAGAAGGATATTTCTTCCAACAGTAGGCAGACTCATCCCCACGCCCCCCGGAGATGAGTCCCACCACTGTTGTATCATCTGCAAATTTAGCAATAGTATTACTAGCGTGAGTGAGAATGCAGTCATGCACATAAAGAGTATAGAGTAAGGGACTCAGCACACAACCTTGTGGTGTACCAGTGTTAAGAATAAGGGCTGAAGAGGTATGATTACCTAATCTGACCCTCTATGAGTGGCCAGATAGAAAATCCATAATCCAAAGGCGGATTGAATTAGAAAGTCCAAGGTCCAGAAGTTTAGACACTAGTCTATGTGGAGGAATTTGTCAGAATATATTCATAAACTGGAATAAAACTTGGTAACAAGATCAGCCAATGCACGTAGCAACTAAATCAGCCAATGAGGATAGTTTGGAAACTGAAATTACCGTGTTTCTCACAAAATAAGGCCAGGCCCCCCTTTTTTTTGACCCCCGAAAAAACGGCTAGGCCATCTTTTCGGGGGTGACTTAATTACCCACCCTTGCATCCTTGAGCGGGCAGGCATTGACAGCTTGGATGTTGACCTCGGCGTTGGTGGGGCACTTCGTATCGGGAGACCTTCCGCCACTGTTGCTTTCCCTTCTTCCCGTGCTGCCGCGACGTTTAGAGCAACGCCGTGATGTTTGGCGCAGCCATGTGCAGCCAGCCAGGGCTCCTCCCTGCAACCGGAGCCCGGCGGAGACACTTGGCTTCAGGCGCTCCTGTCGCCACCTTCCCTTCGCCTTTGAAGGCAAAGCCAATTCTTTTAAAAACGACGCCCTACTACCGGTACGACAAAGACTCCCCTGCCCGAGAGGGCAGCCCAACCCCACGTGGGGAGGCGAATCTCCCGGGGCTGCAGCATAGGATCGGCCCACCCCAGGAGAAGCACCCATCCGCCATCCCTGCCTGACACCGGGCAGAGCGCGAAGAGCTTCGCCTGGGCCGCCCAGCGCAGCTGACAGGCGGGCCCTCCTGCCTGACGGAAGAGCCAAGGCAGCGAGCGCCTCCCCGCTGGACCCTCTGCTCATCCCACCAGGGCTGTGCGGGCTGGGCAGAGCCGGGAAAGTGAGCTGTGGGTACGCGCCCACTGCCAAGCGAAAGAGCCGACCCTGCCCGAGCTTGGCTTCCTTCCCAAGTCCCTCCAGCCCGAACCCGAAGGGGCCACCGGGAGAGGCCGCCCGAGGCAGTGATAGCACCCACCCATCCATGGACAGGGAGGCAAGGCAACGGCCTGCGCCATGTCCTCCTCCGAGCTGAGCCCTGCCAAATAGCGCCTCTGCCCGATGCCTGTGCCGCTGCAGCGTTTGGAGCTGCCGGTGCGTTTAGAGATGCATGAGGATGGGGACGGGCTGGGAGAGGGGTGGAAAGGACGGGCGGCTTTGGGCTCTCTCTGCCGGATCCACCAGCCAGGGAAGCAGCGCTGCTGTCGCCTTGCCTCCCTGTCCATGGATGGGTGGGCACTATCACTGCCTCGGGCAGCCTCTCCCGGTGGCCCCTTTGGGTTTGGGCTGGAGGGACTTGGGAAGGAAGCCAAGCTTGGGTTGGCCCGGCTTTTTCGCTTGGCAGGTGGGCACGCACCTGCGGCTCACTTTCCCGGCTCTCCCAGCCTGCACAGTTCTGGCGCGGCCCTGGTGGGATGAGCGGAGGGTCTGGCGGGGAGGCGCTTGCTGCCTTGGCGAGAGCTCCACCGCTGGGCAGGAGGGCCCACCTGTCAGCTGCTCTGGGCGCCCCAGGTGAAGCTCTTCGCGCTCTGCCCGGCGCCAGGCAGGGATGGCGGATGGGTGCTTCTCCCGGGGTGGGCCGATCCTGCGCTGCGGCCCTGGGAGATTCGCCTCCCCACGTGGGGTTGGGCTGCCCTCTCGGGCAGGGGAGTCTTTGTTGTACTGGTAGTAGGGCGTCGTTTTTAAAAGAATTGGCTTTGCCTTCGAAGGCGAAGGGAAGATGGCGACAGGAGTGCCTGAAGCGAGTGTCTCTGCCGGGCTCCGGTTGCAGGGTGGAGCCCTGGCTGGCCGTGTGTGGCTGCGCCAAACACCGCGGCATTGCTTTAAACGCCGTGGCAGCATGGGGAGAAGGCAAAGCAATGGTGGCGGAAGGTCTCCCGATATGAAGTGCCCCACCAACGCCGAAGTCAACGCAGGCAGCACCATATCCAGGTATGCAACAAAAGTACTTCCTAACAGCAAGGCCCTCCCACCACTCCTCCCCATTTCGCATGTTTAATATAGGCTTTAATTTGGGGGGAGGGGCTTAATTTGATTTTATGCCTATAAAGCATGCTGGGACTTCCTATTGGGGGAGGCCGTATTGTTGGAGAAACACGGTAGAAGTAGCCTAGGCTGAAAACTGAAACTAGAAGTAGCCTAGGTGTGGTTCTATGTTAAGCTCTGCAACTCTGCAGCTATGTTGAAGCTCTAAGTCTGTCTATTGAAGATGAAACTAGCTTGCTTGCTGAAGGCTGGAGTTCTGCTCTGAACTTGCAACATGCTCCATGTTGGAGAAATCTACAACTGGTTTGTAAAATCTACTTGTGTTTGTAAAGATGTTAAATGAAGCATCAGCCATCTGTGTTTATTTTTCTGGTGCTTAATTATCGCTGCATAACTCTCAATAGAATTGTGTTAAACGCAGAACTAAAATCTACAGAAAGGATCCTCACATAGCCCCCCCCCCGCTGTTCTAGATGAGTCAGAGCAGTGTGAAGAGTGATGGCTATAGTGTCCTCTGTAGATCTATTTTTTCTGTATGCAAATGTATGCAGAAGACCAGAAATGATGTGCTGGCAGACCAATTTCTCAAAGCACTTTATGATGATAGGAGTGAATGCCACTGGTCTGTAATCATTGAGGTTATTGATAGGGAACCTCTTTGGCAGCAGAACAATGGTGGAAGTCTTCAAACAAGATGGAATAGTGGACTGGGATAAAGACCAATTGAAGATCCTGGTAAAGACTCCATCCAACTGATCAGCACAGTCTTTAAGCACTCGGGCCAGAGATACTGTCAGGACCGGCAGCCTTTCTAGGGTCCACAGTCCTCAGAATGCTCCTCACCTCCTGCTCCTCCACAATGAGGTGGGGGCTACAATTGGCTGGTGGTTGTATTTTATCTGTCTCTGATGTCTCCAAAGTGAGCAAAGAAATGATTCAGTTCTTCTGCCGATGAAGCATCTCACTCAGCAGGGATGATATTGGTCGGTTGATGGTTTGTAATTTGTTGAATCCCTCGCCACACCTGTCTCATGTTATTGCTATAAAAATTATCCTCAATCTTCCTCTTATAATCAATCTTGGCCTTCCAAATACCTTTCTTCAGGTTTAACATCAAAAGGGGTCTTGATAAATAAATAAATTATATTAATAAAATATAATTTTTTGATTTTAGATTCACTAAGACAGAACATCAACATTAGTAGTGAGATAGGTGAAGGTATCCTCTTCTGAAATAAGTTAATAACTCTTTAGCCATGGTGCCCAGAAGTTACTATGGCTGTGTGAAGATCTGAATTAAGATCAAGGCTACGAACAACAACCCACACTATCCTTGTTGGCCTAGTTTATATGCCATAGTGTTCTGATGCATAATCTTGGTAATAAGATTTCTCAGCAGCGACAGGTAATCCTCAACTTATGACCAGACGTTGAGCCCAACATTTCTGTTGTTAAGTGAGACATTTGTTAAGTATGTTTTACCCTATTTTTTACTTTTCTTGGCACAGTTGTTAAGTGAATCACTGTAGTTGATGTTAGTAACCAGTTGTTAAGTGAATCTGGCTTCCCCATTGATATGACCTTCAGGCACAGCAAGCCTTAAATATGAACACGACAAGCATCTGAATTCTGATCACATTATCATGGAGATGCTGTATATATTACATTTGTGAAAAATGTTCATAAGTCCTATTTTTCAATGCCATTGTCACCTTGAATGGTCATTAAATGAACTGTTGTAAGTCAAGGACTACCTGTACAACAGTTGACAGTGCTCACACTTTTAGTCTTTTTTTAAGTAATGAATGATTGTTGGATTTTATTCTTTGTCCTTATGTTTCTATCCAGTTGAAAACTGTCCAGAGTCACTTTGCAGTTGAGTGAACATATATAAATTAAATATAAGTAATTAATAACTATGCTATCGCAATCCAGGTCAAGCATTCCTGGAAAAGTTCAACACGTGCAAAGCCTAGGCCCAACAAACTGCGCATGTGCCACTCGCCCAGCCTACTACCGGTATGTTGTTTACTGCGGGTGGAGATGCCCATATTATGGCATTTCTGGGCGTGGCACCAGAAGTCCCTCCCCTGCTCTGAGTGTCGGGCGCAGACTGAAGCGCCATTTTGCGTTGCCGTCGCTACGTCGTAGAACTTAGGTAATTGGAGGCGGTGGCAGGAGATAGTCGGGGCTCGTTCTCTTGGATTCCCGCTTGTCCGGCCACCTGCCGCCTTAGATACGCGCCAGCATGAGCGACGTGGAGGAGAATAACTTCGAGGGGAGGGTGAGTAGTGAGCGGTTTCTGTTCGGGCCGAGGTGTCGGAGGCCTGGCCTGGCCCTGAGGGCGAGAAGTGGGCGAAGCGGGGGAGGGAAAGGATCCTCCGAATCGGACGCTGAACGGGTGGAGTCATCGTTGTTCATTACCAAAATGGTTCCTTCTTCCGAGGTGGGGCTACGCTGCATCCCGCCCGCAGGGACCGCGCTCTCGTTGGCTGTTTCGAATCGGTCCTGCTTTAACCTTCTTCCGGATCAAGGATCCTCGGACTTAACAAACCGTGATCCCGACTCCTCTTGGCACCATCCCTCACCCCTTTAATGGGTTTGGGTTCTAGCACCCCTTCCCGTTTTTAACCGTTTGCCCTGTCCCTTTTTTTTGTTTTTTGCCATTATGAAAGTTATTTCATTCCCGATCGCTTTAAATCCCCCCCCCTTTTCACTATAACAAATAACATCCCCTCCCCAGAAGGTATGCAAGGCTGGTGGGAAGAAAGAGAAAATCGGGAGGGCCGGCTGTAAAAAAGCCCCTTTTCCTGGGGGAGAGTTGAGGATCGTTTCTAATAATATGATGAAAATGGCGTCAGGATTTTTCCAGGTAAAAACGCTGTTAAGCTTCCAGTATGATTTATTAGGTTTACACCAGAAGACAGAGTCAACATTTTGTTACGATAAGATATTTAAGGTATGGTACTAGTGGATATTTTCTGCATTATTGTGGGCAGTAATAATGAAAAGAGTTCATTAGAAGCTATTTACTACAGTTCCAATTCTAGGTTTACAGTTACACTATCTTAAATAATTAGGCCATTATTTAATTATTGAAAGGGATTTTTAAATTTTATATAGAGAGTATAGTAGCATACTTTTAAAAATGCTGTCTGGGAAGAGTGTTAACAGTATTTTTAGATTTAGATTTGTGTGCTTGTGTGTATGTGTGTTCTATTACAGTATAAAAAAACTTTGAGATAAATTCGTTCCCATCCTACCTTATAAATTTTTTAAAAACTGACATCTTGTTACTACTTTTCTCAAAAATCGTAATAGAAGTATATGATTCAGTACAAATCTTATCCTTGTATAAGAATATCATATTTCAGCCTTTACAATTTATGTTCATTTGTATTTAATAATGATGTTTCATAAAGCATATTATCCTCACTTATATTTTAAATCTTGAAAAACAACAAATCTAAATGTAAAGCTGTGATAGGTTTTTACTGTATTTAGGATTATTGTTTGATTTTCTGTGCAAAAGTTCAGGAACACTTATCTTAATGTTGAAGCAGCAGCTGAAAATTATAAAGAAATGAAACAATTTTAAACCAGGCAAGATAGAAAGGTATATTGTAGTTGTAGTAAAAGAATAAATTGCCCAGTATAATTAAATTAAGACTTTGGGTGCAATAGAATCCTCTTTGTTACCTTAAAAATAATTCCTTATAGTATTGAAGTACCATTTTTGTGTGTGTGTTTTGCTGAGATACAGTTCCCTTAATTAAAAAATGTCCTGCATTAGCTAACTGCTAGCACTGTGGCTTAATTCAGGTGACATATTTATTTATTAAATTTATATTGCTGCCTATTCACCCATGGCAACTTGAGATAGCTTACAGAATATAAAACCACAATAAAAACTAACAAAAAGAATGAAATAAGTTAATAAAGTATAATGTAACAAAATTAACCCCCCCCCCCATCCACCCCATGACAGCAGATCACAAAGCCATTTAATGGGCTCTATCCCATTCTGGGTTCTCCAGGCTCGCTGGCAGAACCAGGTCTTCAGCACTTTCCGGAAGATATTACAGTGGGGGCCATTCTAATCTTGGAGGGGGGTGATGTTCCAGAGAGAGGGAGCCACCATAGAGAAGACCCTTCTGGTATATTCCCACCAGGTATATCTCCCTCTGGGATGGGACCCGCAGCATTCCCTGCCTCCCCACTTTGTTGGGTTGGGTAGATGTGACCAGCAAGAGACTCCCTCAGATAACCTGGTCCCAAACCATGAAGGGCTTTAAAGGTGACAACCAGCACCTTGAATTGCACCCGGAAGCAAATTGGCAACAATGCAGCTCCTGCAGGAGAGAGAATACATGTGCACACCAGGGTCTGCACAAAACCATAAGGGCCACTGCATTTTGCACCAACTAGAGCTTCTGGATCCTCTTCATGAGCAGCCCCATGTAGAGCGCATTGCAATAGTCAAGACGTGAAGTGACTAGAGCAGGGGTGGGCAAACTTTTTGGCTCGGGGGCCGCATTGATTTTTAAA